TGATCATTTTACAAGAAAAAAAATTTGGTGTGTTACTAAAATGATGTATCATTCTCTGGTAATTTAATAAAATGCAAGGATGACAAGAATGTATTATTTGTAGAGACGCTAATTCCAACCGACGTACGCGCAAAACGTTTAATTATTCTATCAGTTGTCCTATCCCCCGTCGGTCAAGCATCAATTACTCTATGTGGTGAATAAAGAGACATATGTTATCCATTGTCAGCCTTTAAATATGTTGTTTTTGTTCGTTAAAGTTTACCGCATTTTAAACAGCAGTTAAATAGCTCAAAGATTTAATACACCTATTTACGACACCTCCATAAACACGAGGTCTTGTAATCTGTAAGAACAATGAAAGTAAATATATCTCAGACGGATTATTCAAGCGTGAGATTAGTTCGCTATACGTGGCATGGAACTAAAGCAAATAGAATGGCAATCGGACAATTATTGCTTTATAGAAACAATAGGTTAGAAAGTGCGAAATGAGAGTAAGATTGAAAGCTTAAAACTTTCATTAAAACTAAGTTGACACTTTAGACTTATTTTTAAGCCCGTGCGAATGTTCCTAAGTAAATGTTCTTAATGAAATGTTGTACTGTATAAAGATGGCTATTATAAACTATTAAATGAACCAAGGCATTTTTTAATACCATGGACTGGCGGGGCATTTTCCCCACTGGGCCCCTTCCTCTGCCCCTCTGCCCCACCACTGAAGAAAAAAAATGGCCTAGGACCAGGCGGTAGGACCTGTATTGAGTTTAACATTATTACAAATTTCACCATTAAAACTTTGTTTTGAGATGCTTAGATTTTTTTAAATGTGTTCTCAGAATACAGGAAATGCTATTTCAGAGACCCAAGTTTTAAAAATTTCCTGGGGGGGCCCCCAAGCTAACTCGTGCCTGCCCGTACTCGGCTCACACCTTCGGCGATCGCTACTATCCTGGGGGGGGGGGGGGGGGAGGGCAAGGGGAATGGGCCCTTTGGCAGTTTTGCCCCACCACTGAAGAATACTTAAAAATGCACTGAAATGAACTAGAGACTTGTTACTATTGGTCTTTACAGTAGCAAAGCCCTTTTAAGAAAAGAATAACAGTAAAGTGTCCAAAAAGATGATCATGGCAGAAAATCCAGTGAGTGAGTTCTCAAATTCCTCATTCTCAGGTGGTAAGAGGAATCGAACGGAAATAACTTGGTAAAAATGAACAAATCATCAGATATATTAAATGGAACACAACATGAAATTAAATTGGAACACAATCGTGTAGCATGCAATTAGTAAAGTGAAGATACGTAGATTTGAACCGATGGCTTAAGGGACTATCAATGTCAAATTTAGGAATTTTATCTCATTTGGTAGCAATACAGACAAGGTATATCCTTGAGACACCGCTTTTCTATATTAGAGATAGAATATTTAATTAATAAACTGAAGCTAATAAACCACGCAATCTTTTTTCTATTGTAACATTCATTTAAAAAAACTTATAATAATAATACTTTTTTATTTTAATTGCCATATACACACACATAACCAAAACAACAATATTAATGGACCAATGGTGATTGATTTAAAACGATCACAACAATGACAATTGACAAACATAAAAGAACGCCCAAGAAGGAAGAACGTTATCTCTCGAAGACTAAGTGGAGTGGACAATATCACTCGACATATCTGTTTTGGAACTGTGTGACGCCATCAAGATGAATTCGAAAGGAAAAATATTTAAGGTTTAACCACTTAATTCAAGTCTAGGAAACTCGGTTTCCTGTAATGTATAGTCTTGTCCGGACTTGAGCATACCTTAGTCTCATATTACCATTGATCTGATTAGGCAAACTCAAAAGGAAAATATGTTTACGTGTAGGAAGTGATACTTCAAGTCTTCAAGAAAGGTGTGAAATTTGATTCAACAATTGGGATGATTCACACATGATATTCACAAGTAAAAAAAATTAAAATATCAATGTACTATGTTTTGATTTCCCTAAATCGTCGAGCGAAATCTTTTTATACATAACTGATGAATATCATGCTAAGTTCATGCATCATAACACGCGAGGGGTGAACTTTCCCAGAAATAACAAAATCTTTCGAAAAATCCTAGAAATGTCAACATCTTTTACAAAATTCCCTTTGGAAATCCAAAAATCTTTTAAAGTCGTATAATCTTCCCCAAAAAATATACTTCAAAATACGCTGATAATGATTTTTTTTCTGTGTTGGTGTAATGTACTCCTCAGGTAAACACGATGCATATGATGCCACACCGGGCAAGCTCGAGAAACATACCTGTCCACGCGGACAGGCATGTTTTTCAAGCTTGCCCGGTGTGGGTGTATGCACTTGGAGTGGCATCACAGGCATTACGCTGATAATCTCGAAAAAAATTCCTAAATTCCTGGGTATTTTGGCAGGCATTATTACATACCAAAATCTTCCTATGCCTAATCCTTTATTCAGAGTTATATATAGAGCTTCTTCCTTGCCGCCAAACCTGTGGGTCCAAAACCTAAAATTCGGAAACACTCGAAACATCTTTGCGTACTTGTTATCGAGGGCTATCCCTCGATAACAATCCCTCGATAACAAGTGCGCAAAGACGTTTCGAGTAGTTTCGAAATTTAGGTTTTGGACCCACAGGTTGGGCGGCATGACAAGGAAGAAGCTATTGTCTTCTCAAGACAGAATTAAAAATTAAAAATTGTTTCACAATGTCTGTCCTGAATAAATAATGTGCTAATGTAATATCGCTTTTAGCAAAACGAAAGCTTAAATATTGAATAACAACCATACAGAAACATCGTGATCTTGATTAAAATTTGATCCACAAAGGAGGAAATTTATAAACATTAAATGATCTCAATTTTCAATTTTCTCGATTTTCAGTATCTTCAAACATTGCAGATCTCATTATGAATAATTATTAACGCACTATACTGTTTTCATTTTTAATTACTTTATTTGATTTTCAATTTATATACGTTTCCTGATCTAACATAGAAATTTTAAAATGAACATAGATTGTCATGCTAATTTACAGTCACTGGTCTTGCATCCTTCGACAAATTTCACACTATAATATCGCGTTAAATACAGATAGGAGCGCACAGTATCGCAATTTTTTTATATTACTTCAATTACGCGCATATATTTTACAGTCAGTCTCTGTATTCGATTATGCGCAGCCAAGGTAAAACATATTTATTTACAAAACGTGCTCTGGCTGTATAAGTTTTTATTTGTTACAATTGCTTTCGGCTAAAAGTCTATAAGGTATGACGGGTGTATACAAATAACGTCCTACTATTAGACGCTACTTAAGTTAAGCGTCCTTTGTATATACCCGTTCTTCTACTAGACGCTACTTAAGTTAAGCGTCCTTTGTGTATACCCATGCAGCTTGTAACAAAAAAACTTACAGCCAGAGAATATTTTCTAAATAAATAAGGCTGCATTGTTCTTTCGATTTTTATGGTTTAGATTCATGTTAAAATGAAAAACAGTCAGTTGTATGATCTATGGGTTCATAATTCTCGATCCTCTGTATTGACTTCTTATATACTTAAATATCATGCACAATAAATATCATACACTTAAACTTAGATAGCGATTGTAAGCAACTTGCTGCTTCGTCATCTTGCTCTTCATAGTACTAACGCCAAACAAAAAATTCGTAAAATCTTTCTTAAAAAGCTTAACCTTACTAACCATATCGAAGATCTATTTTGTATAAATTGTAAATATTTACTAAATTGTAATTGTATTCATTTCTAATTATTTTTTTCTCATATGTAAATAGTCGTAATCTTTAATACTTTTTATATGCCTGCAAATATCAAAATAGCGCGAGGGCCGTATGTTAGATAACTTTTATGGTTAATACGTTTTCCCTCGTGAAATAAGTTTCTGTTCTATTCTATTCTATTAATTAACCAATCTTAACACTGTGTTGGCCAGACTTAAGAATCAACGACGCGCACAGTCCGCACAAAGCCCACCTCGAAGACCACAAATACTTTTTAAAGCACATACAATATTCTGGAACATAGCACATGACAATTTACATTTGTTGTTGGTTTTCTTAAATAAAACATGTGTTAATTCTTCCATTTAGATCCATTAACGAACATTTAAAACCATTTATACAATAAGCTAAGCGGAAAATATTGGAATGCTCTTTGCGTCAAATATGCCCAAGCTTGGAGATAAGGGAACACGACGATATATTGATATCGTGAAATGGATTTCCGTTGCCGCGTTTCACCGTCACGCACTGTAGTTTTATATTGAAAAACATCAAAATATAAAATAAATTTGGAGTAAATGATGTTAATTCGTTTCATTATATATTAATGCCTTGTATAGGAACACAAATATACGAACCAATGTCACGAGTTAAAATCATTTTATCGCTTCTTTCAAATACTACGCAAACAACACACTCATGGACTAGAATATATCTCTAAACCTTATTAATAGACTAAGCTTGCAACCATAATTAAGCTACATAGATCAGGTTTCTTCAAATCATGTAGAAATTTATAGATAAATCGTAAACGGGTTATTAATGTTTTTCATTATTCAACTCGCATTGTTTATGTACAAATATTTCTCTAAGCTAGCGACCACATGTTAGATGAATAATATGTTTAAAAAATTGTCCCCAAACTAGGTGGAAATTCATAAAGTTAATAGCTAAATAGGGTCTTAATAAGTGTCCCCTATTATCCTTTGAATATGTACAAGTGTTTTCTCTAAGCTAGCTACCACACTTGAGTCATGCACATATGTTAAAAAGTGTGCGCAAAGTAAGTACAAATTCATTAAGTTGGCAGCAAACTGTTAAGCTCGTTATAGACGCAGTTTCTGCTACCAGACAAGGTGGTCCCATTATTTTAACACATGTAATCATCAACAAGTATGTCTTGTTGGTGAGACGCAATTTGAATGTCGATTTGAAATGATAGCAGGGTTTCGTCAGGACCTACACGGGCGCTTTTGCATTTAGGTAATGGCCATTTTCATTGGGAGGACAACTTACGTTTGTCAGAGGATGTGATAGTTCTGATGAAGCGCAATGTTCGGAGTATCCAGGCATGGGGCGAGTTTGGGTCGTTGTAGGCTTATCAACAGACATTTGTACCAACAAAGGTTGCTGTTTGATAGGCTGTCGTTGTGGGTATTTATGAGTAAAGTTTCTGTAATAACACATTTGCCACGATTGACAAGTTTTTGAAGACCATACCCACATGCCAGACGTTATGCCAACGATCAGAGTCATAAAATATCGCACCATATAGATCTCTTCTTTAGGTCGCGAGGCTAAATTACACTCGTCTGTCGCCACATTAACACAATTACGTTTCACCTCTTGCTGCCAGGACTCCATGTTCGAGTACTCATAGACAAAACAAGCTATCACCGCCGTTGCAGGTAGCGTATATAGAACAGAGAAGACGCCAATTCGTACCATTAATTTTTCCAATTTTCTCGTGTTCGTATCGCGGTCTTTCAAAACGGATCGAATGCGAAACAATGATATAAAACCAGCCAATAGGAACGTTGTACCAATCACCAAATATATGCAAAGCGGCGCTAACACAAACCCAGCCAACGTCTCAACGTTTTGGTTACCAACATAACACAAACCCGTCAACTCGTCCGCATCAACTTTCCGAGTGGATAACGCGACAATTGTTTGTATAGCTGGAATAACCCAGGCGACTGCATGAAAATACGTCGATTTATTAGCGATAGCTTCCTGACTCCATTTTAAGGCCGCCGAGAGAAACCATGTTAGGGTCAAAATAACCCACCATAACGAGGACGCCATACCAAAGAAGTAAAGGAGGATAAAAACGATAGAACAGCCGGCAGTGTTTAACCCGTCTATTATTAAATAGTCCCCATCACCACTGCACGAGATCCCTTCTGGTTTTGCAATAAAACGGATCAAATAGGCGGCTGAATATAGATTGTAGCAAAAAGCTAAGTAAATAATAGGCCTTTCCGGATATTTGAAACGAGTTCTATCGATCAAATAAGTGAATACGGTAACCATGGTTGATACGAAACAAATTGTCGACCAAATCAGTAACCACACGTCCGCGAATTTCTTGTGAGTTTTATTAAATAAGATATCCTCGCCGCATCTCGCCGCACAAACGTCCTTCTGCTCGACATGGACAAATTTCTTGGTGTTCAAACATTTCGGCAGCTTACGTTGTGGAATTATGCTGGTGTTCACTGCTCCTTGTAAGTCTACGTTTCCTTGGGTTTTGGTGTTAACATGTCTTGGTTTCAGGGTAGTCCGTATGCCGGGTTTTGTAGTGTCCTTTCCATCGTCCTTTCCATCGCCCTTTGGGGTATTAATACATATCGTTCCCTTACCTAGACTAGGAAAGCCACTACATTTAAATTTCTCTGGCCAACCATAGCCAAATTTCTTCAGCAGATCCAAACAACCTCGTTTAGACTCTTCACACAGCGAGCGACAAGCGTAGACGGGATAACTCACATCGGTGTTGCATAAAGGAGCGAACGTTGAACATATAAATAGTCGAACATGAGTAGCGCAACCAACTTCCATAATGGGTCTAAATTCGCCAATTTTTTGCTGTGCTTCCCATTGCGTGTCATGACCCATATGGTTCGGCATCGTAGTCATATTGTAACCAATGCCTTTACAAAGATCAATAGTTAACGGCTCGCATTTAAGGGCTCTCTTCGCCTTTGCGTCAACATTCAACCATAGCCCACAGGAACAGAAAAGGAAAATGATCATAGCCGACGCCATAACCTGTTTCGAGGCTGCTACGATAACAAAATACTTGTATAGACTATCGCCGTGCTCGTGTGAAAATAATCCCCAAAAGTGTCAGATATTTGGACAAAGCCAGCTGATCACGCAAACAGACGCAAAACCAAACTGAATAGCGTTGTATTATTATCTCTTAATTTAAAATGTCAAGCATCGATTGTCGACCGGAACCTATTAGATGTCACTCAAACTTTTGTTTGCAAACATCTGCTTTTGTCGGCATTGCTGTGGCGCTGCGGCGTGAGCCAATCAGCGAGCAGGTATCTTGCTGCGCGAGAATTTCGTCCAATCAAATCGGCGGCTTTTAATTCCTATTTGAGTTGACAAGCAGTCCACAATTAATGAGTAACAGGATAAACTTTGGATTGTGAAAATTTTCTCAAGCTAAGTTCTGAAACTGCACTGTTGATGTAAGCTGTGAACCTAGCGAGAAAATAAATATCTATGTTTATTTTCCAAACTACGGTGCTGCGCTATTCAACGGCAGGGAACTGAACACTACACCGTTTGTAGCCAGTTGCCTAATTTCTAAGCCAACAATGAATAGGCAATACCGTCAAAACTTTATTCATTGTCTTTTAACAGGTTATCGATCTGTGTGAAAGATGAGCTACCGTTTTCAAAGACAAACACTTACAACAATAAATATGCACCGACAACGACAGTAGACCTTAGCTTTTCAATATACATTTCTGTGTTTTAAATTCGTTTAACAAAGTCCTTCTGGTGTATGATATTTTACATCACAGACAGAAGATTCTAGCACTTTTCAAAGACATAAACACACAGAAAGAAATAAAGAATACAAACACAGACGTTTCACATAGTTTTGTGTAGTGCCATAAACAAATATGTATGTAAACGGAAATTGCTGGGGAAAACATTACAAAACAACTCATAACGATACCTTTCGCGCTGTGGCAGGGGAAAGTGTATAGATAAACATCGCTCTTTCTCAGCTTATCAATCGTAGCAGGTTTAAGATTCTAGGCAGAGCTATTTTTTACCATGACATTGCGTTGAAAGAAACCACATTACATGAGAACATTTTCAAGACAGCTGTAAGCTTAAATCAGGAGGGCCAAAACACTTGTAGTTTAGCTATTATTAAATATAAATTGTACAGTCGTATAGAAAAGACCATGTATAGTTGCATACAAAGACTCATGATCATATAAAGTCTTCAAGAGGAAGATAATCAATTTAACTGTGAAGTCTCATGTGGGAGATATCTTCAACGCAAGCCCACAGGCATGTCTCTACTCTATGCAGCGGCGTGTGTTCAAGGTTTAACTACGCCAAGAAAGTGTTATGTTGAGATCCAGGAAACAGCGAGTATATAGAGCATTTGATTTGAATAAAAATGATAAGTGTATTTAGACTGCTAGTCTGTTACCTATGCTGAGGTCTCACTATTTCAGTCTGTTTGAAAATTAAGCTCTATCAACTCACGATCTTATCTACCAAATACATGTACACGAGAATGTTTAGACAAGCAAAACTACAAAGCCAAATGATTTGTATATTTCAAGAATACTGCCTTTTATTATTACACTGAGAAATCGAGAACCCATGCATATCGAAATCTGCGTCCTGTCCTAACCGTATGAAGTTTGAATCTCAAAAAATACACTGACTTAGCCGTCAGTCGTGTGGTTATATATAATAAGAAAAACAAACTTTTGGTGTTATATAAATACACGCAATTTAATGATTTAAAATTACTCGATCAAAGCGTTTATATTATGAATGTTTTCAAACGATCAAACGATGTTTACAACATTTTTCGGTTCGCTTGTTTTACAAAGCAATGACGACCATTGGTAAATAAATGGACGCAATTAGTGGTCAACGAAACAAATGGAAAACGATTGAGCACTAACAAATGATCACTTAGCATTCTGCCAGAGTTAGATAAGCTCCTTGCCGGCATGATTATCAAGGGCTGTGTATATATCATGACCTACTTGAAGTCAGAAATTTTCTCCCGCTGTCATTGTCGTAAAATAAACCAGATGTTTTGTGAGGTGAAGACAATCCCAAGTCATTGCATGAATATAATACTAAACGGATCACACGCAAAGGAAGGGCACGGAGTAAATTGATACACTTTTTCTGTTACGAAATATTTGGATGTGGTTTCCCCAAATCCACGCCTATCAAACGTTTTTGATGGATTAAGTTCTTTATAGTTTTCCGACAATATTGTTTGGAAACTGGCGCTTTCATGTTGTTTAGGATGCCGCCTTCGCGCTCCGCCTCTTTTGAGCAATGCAATTTTCGCTCATTGACGATTTCACATTTTAACATATTTTATAGACAATCAATTGCTAAGATTGTATCAGTTTTTGTGAAACCCAAATCTTATACTAGAACTTCTCTACGAAACCTAGAGTTACAATACAAGCGTCAATACACATATCAAATGGCTATTTACAGTAATTATTTATATTGCTTTGGCAAGTCTTCCGATCGGTTTTCAAATATTCCTGTTTCCCAAATTTGAGTATTGTTTGTGTTATTGAATTCACAGTTCACAATTAGTAGTTTTCGATATACTGGCTGAAACGTACATCAGTTTACATAAGTGCTTTGTTTCAGTTCCTGGGAGATGTGATTTAGTAAATAATGTACGAAAGTATTTTTAGGCTTTGAGTAGAGATACTAGATTTCGGTGTTTCATCTCATTCCCATACGTCAGGAAGCGAAATTAGCCGGAGTTCACAAATCACCTATAAACTGTTTTTCATTGTATTATTTGTTGTTTCTAGTTCAAATTGCGCGCTTTTCATGACAACCTTTGGCTCAAGGCTCAAGTCTCAAGTTCACAGTCTGTGACATGTCAAGGCGAAGTTCTGCTCAACCCTATATTAAATGTGTGTGTTCTACAAGTGACTATAAGTCTTTTTTCATTACGATTTTGTTGTTCCAACAACACTACTCTCCCCTTGAGTAACAGCTCTAATTAGTCCATGTATAGCATCCCAATTACCGCACGTGGATAGGGCATGCTGTGCTCTCAATGTTGAGGTAATTTCCCACTGGCAACACGTAGGATAAACTAAACACCAGCACAACGGCCATTGGATGAAATCGATCATTTCATAGCTATGCCTGTTGCTGTACTAAATTTAGAAAAGAATGTGAGTTCACTTGGGCACCCTTTACTCAAAAGACTAATCCATTATCCTTTATATATCACTGAAAGAACAACTGCAGCACAACGAAGATTGGATCAAATATATCATTAGCCTGCTTTTAAGGGGTTAGGGTTTAAAACCACCAGCCATGCAGGCTAATACATCTGCGAGAACTATGGTCTTGAGCACGGAAGAAGTTATTTCGATTGAAGAAGATTGGTTTAGAAACAAACTTGAAGTAGGGTTAGGTTAGGGTTAGGACTAAGTTAGAGTTGGTGTTTGCATGGTCTTTGGAATAGGGTTAGTGTTAGTAAAACCGTTGCTTTGTTACGTTTTGTCACTCTGAGGCCAGCGAAATAACCTCTTCCCAGCAAGAAATATGCCTGATAAATATGTTGGGTGCTCTTTACTCCAGAGTTTAACACTAAACGGAAGCCAAATCTTTTTATCATGTGTTAGTAAACACTGGACCAAAGCCAAAGATTATTACTGGAAGATATGAAATACAGTTTAGGCATAACTGATACAACTATTCACTATATTCAGTATAATAAATTATTGCATTTTTAGCTGAATATTGAATGGATACGAGTTTAACTTTGCTTGCTTATGACCTATGCCATATGCGTGAATCACCTGAGCTGCACAAGGGGTTTCTTGAAGCCTTACTGTGATGATACCAGAGTGTGTTCTTTCAAATATTTCAAAAGTGTAAATCTGTTTACTAAACAAACAATATTGTCAGTATTGTTCTTAATGACATTTTGATCATCCGGTCTTTGTAGACTGAATATTTTGTGACCACTTCCGAATACACTAAAACGACGGTAACTCCGAAAATGAACATTTCAATATTGTTTAGTGTCTTTCGAGTGTCGACCTTTAGCCATCGTGAGGAAAGATCAAGGTTACATTAGTTTAACCGTTGGTAACTTTATACTTTAATATCCATTCACTTGTATATAAAGAACGTAACATGACTTTAGGACAGTCCGTTGGTCTGAACATACATGTGAAGAAGGTTTTGAAATAAAATCGAAATATATAATCATGCATAAAAAAATTTGTCTTAAATTTGATGAATATCTTGGATTTTCAAGATGCATGGAATTTGCTTTATCTTGTTTTTTTTACACTGTTGGCAGGAAATGGATTTTGGGATCATAGAATTAGCTACAATCCCAACAAGCATAAGCACGTGCTGTAAGCGTGCACCATGAAGGGAAACAACGTGGTACTCAGAGAAAACCTGGAACAATCAAACTGAAAGAATTCTTCTCACGTGCAAGCGATGTTACATGAACGATTGTCCTACGAATAGCTCCTCCAACAACACTCTTATTTTGATATAATTGCATGTTCACACAAAATTTCTAGAATGCAGAGCGTAGTCCATTTGGTCCACGTGAGAAGTGCTTCAAAGCACAACACAGAATCAAATCTTGACAATGTTCGAATGACGTCATGTTTTGACGAAGTAAACACTTGGAGGATTTGAGTTGGTTCACACGCGATAAGGAGCACTCCAGACAACTAGTGTCTTCGTATGTCAACCAGAGCTCAGGTTTCTCACGCAAAACGATATTTATAGTTCGTGAAACTTTCCATACGAGCCTTGAATCACCAGAATTAGTAACTTAGCTGTCAATTTGTAAGAGGCAGACTTTATAAATAACTTTCTTTCTTTTGTCTACTGTCTAAAACAGGTTTTCAAACAAGACATTCGCTTTCTCCAAAGATTCTGTTTTCTGTCCTTATTTTCAACTCGGAACAGTGGTTCGATTCGTGCAGTATAAAATACAGTTTCCTTTATGTCAGGATAAGATACGAATGTGTTTGTCATTTATTATTCACTCTGATTACATTTCAGCAACGATAGCAATCCCGCGAGCGGCCATCACAAAGATAACTTTTCAAAAGAAATCAGGAATTTGACGTAGTCTCATATGAATACAGATGACCAGTTTCAGCTGCAGTTGCAATCACTCACATGGTAATTTTTACCAACAAATAAAGAACGGGACCATGCCATATGATAATTTTTACCAACAGGCACCATGGGCAGAATTTTATTACTTTCCAATAGGACGGAAGTCGCCAGGGTTTTAGACTGATTAAAACTAATAGGAAATATTAATAAATAAAGAACGCCAAGAATTGTAATTTACTGAATGAAAACAAATAGGAAATTAAAACATACTTGATATGTTTTGAATTTAAGAATTTAATATAGTTATTTTATTCACCAGCGTTTCCTCTGGCCAATTCAGCAGGAAATTATCGTCAAAGGAAGTAATTAATTTAAAGTGTTTATGCGAAATTTAATATCTATTACGATTATTTACTAACTTCATACGTCAATAGGAAATTACTTCGGTCTAAAGAAAATTGACCTTTAAAACGTGGACACATTCTTACAAATTTCAAAATTCCTTACAAATTTCCTTTCAAACGCAATTTTTCTCTTATGAAAGATTTTTTCTTCATGGCAAGTGGAAACGCTTTTGCCAACATACGTATTCACCTCATTCCCAGTACTTTGAGCGCATTGCAATCGTCCATGCTCTGATTTATCCAACCCGCATGCGGGTTATTATTTTGACTAAGTATCTTCACTTTGTGCCAGAAAAGGAAAGGAATTAGAGATGTTGGTCTTTTCATTGTTTCTTTCCAATGTAGATTATGTTAGTAGATTATGTTTATCCAGCTGACATTTTCATCATATTTGAACCGACATTGACTCGCTCTCGAACCGATTTACAATCAATGCACGAAGCTCTAAAATTTACCCTCGACCCTCGACTACGACCTAACACAGTGGGTTTAACCTCGACTCGGTTTGAGCTTGTTAAACATTAGACAGAGATTTGAATAACATCTCAGTTAGGGGTTATGAATAGCTTTGTATGAACGTAGGCGGATTATGCGTTCTAGCAAATATCATTAGATGTAATTTGCATCTGAATACCCTGTCTTTTGTACGTGGCCATGTTTCCAATCTTCAATACTTTGTCGGTAGATGATAGGATTTGTTTTATTCAGCGCGAGAATTTGTTATTGCACCAGCGTCAAGACAATTTAGGTTGTGAGGTAGTGGACTCTGCCTTACGGGCAGGTTTGAGGTTAACCATGACGATCTATCACATGCAGTGAACTCAATTTATTTTACTTCACCTAGCCTGCTCGCAGCCCGAAATTTTCCGTTTCAAATTTTCGGGTGGGGGCGGCGAGCAGGCTAACTTTACCAAGATAAAAGACGTAGAGTACACTGATCATATTATGCTGCCCTTTGTTTAAAGTGGCATATAGTATCTTGGTACTCTCTCTCTTCCAGCGAGGCAGGGGCGCATAGAGGAGTGAGCATGTGTACAATGGACATGAGCACGTGAACACCAACTATCAGTGTCTATCACTCCAACAACATATCATCAACTCGAACCGACTTGACCTCCTAGCTAAAAGGTCATCAATCCACGACCGTAGGACTCGTACACACGACTCTCTTCAACAGGCGCTCCTTGCGTTATCAACAATATAGTATTGTAATTGTTAACCGTTATTAGCAATAAGTTATTGGGTTGTTAACCCTAACCCCCACCCTAACCCTTTACAATACTATATTGTTGATAACGTGCGGAACGGGTGTCTTCAAATACCTCTATTTAAGACTGCAGCTGGCCAACGATCATTTACATTTTGAGCCGTCCATATTTGGAACAATTTAGACAAGAACTTGAAAGATTCTCTTCACTTAAAATTTTTAAAGTAGCACTTAAAAAACATTTGCTTGCAAAAGATAACATTTAGTATAACCAACTAAACTTTGTATATAGTATTTGATAATTGTTTAAACTTATATTTGTAACCTTAAGTATTACTGCATGCATGTAACTGTAAATAATTTCTGAAAAACCCTTTTAGGGAGAAATTTATTAAATATCTATCTATCTATCTAGCTCAGTTGGTAGAACATTGGATTAGTATCTCAAAGGTTGCGAGTTCGATTCCCACCGTGGTCAGGCAAACTTTTCAGCTTGCCCGGTGTGGATGCACACTCAGAGTAACATCACAAACATCACATTCACCTGAGTACATAACACACACAAAAAGTATCCCTCAGCAATGTAACAATTCTAGAAAATATCATTAGATGTAATTTGCATCTGAATACCCTGTCTTTTGTACGTGGCCATGTTTCCAATTTTCAATACTTTGTCGGTAGATAATGATAGGATAGAAGGTGGCATAGACATGGTATCTTGGTACTCTCGAGGTAGGGAGTGAGCACGTGGATATGAGCATGTGAACATTGTAACATCCCTCAATGTAACAATTCTATAATTGTCTGTAGAAGTGCATCGTGTCTCCAATATGCATATCTTCCTTCCTGGATGAGTATTTCGTGTTAATTTGTAGAGCTGTGAAATTCAAATATCTCCTCAACTCTCGAATTCACCCAGCCTCGGCGAGGGTCTAATCTATAGGTGACCGTAAACCGTCATGTCCGACAGATTTCCTTTCATCTGTTTATGCATAAGAAACTAATAGTTTACTTTCGGTGTTTGTGCATGTTTGCGGCTAGTAAGTCCAATCCTAGTGCAACAGCACAAGTAAATGTACCGCTACCCTACCCTACCCTACCCTACCCTATCCCAGTTCGTGTCTCCAGTGATTTTCTTGAAGTCCTCGAGCCTCGACCTCGACTCTCGTCTGAATGTTAATAATTATATACCACACATGCAAACACAGCCCGTCGTCAAGGCAGCAAAGTCTTGACCGGGGGGAAACCGCGTCTACAATATCGCGTCGTGAAAGATTAGAAGATTACATATTTTCAACGTATCAACAATGCCTGCTACTACTCACAAGTAAGAGGAACGTTCTCGATTTCTGCTGGGCAAATTAAGAAAGGTAATTCGTTTCATTTTGTCGTATTATTACTAAATATCCCTTTTCGCACTTGGAAGGTGTGCAAGTTGGCACCTTTGGGAGGAAATCCGTATTTGACACGGCTTACACCTAGAGCTGCACGTATTTTGATACGTTGTAAATGATTAAAAATACCACATCTGTGCTGAAATATTAGAATAAGTAAACGGGTATTAGGGTAGCCTTGCCACAAACCTCAGATCCAATCCAATTATAATACTATTAATAAGCAAATAACTGTGAATTCTATGCATATCCTACTCAATGGATGACTGTTGAATATGGGATAAAACTTCTAGATTCTTATGCAATTGATATACAGACAGATAAATCATTAATATTACGTAGGAATTGAGTCATATGTGAAGTACTGCGTATATATGCTGCAATATCTGTAAAGATGTAAAGATTCACAGGAAATGAGACGATTATGTGCAATTAAAACAATTTTGTGTTGGCATGCATGGTCTTGTTTATTAAACACAACATGTTATACACACGAAATATTAAACGATCTATTCTGTTCTTTGATGAGGTCAACTTAAAATGTAAAAGCATATTCAGGCAATTTTTCTATACCGCAACTAGAAGCTGGTACAACGAAGGCTTTGGAAACGCCAACCGAACTCGGAAGGAATGTGTTAACCACCTACAACAATTTGTACAATGTAAAGTAACAGGCATTATGACACTTTCACTATAAAAGGACTTGTGAAGTGAACAATTGCCTGAAATTACTTGCACCGATGAAGATTTGCGCTTACAGATTGAAAGCGTTTTGAGATAACTTATTGTTTTGTACAAAACCAAACATGTACCCTAGCGAGCGAGCGGAAACACAACTGTTATCAAGTATTGTCTTTATTGCCAAATACTTAGACGGTCTTTCTAATTCCTAAGTATCCCCGGATCAGATATTAGTTAAGTGAATATTGAATGGTCATTGCTCGTTTACTGTGTGAAAGGTCTACAACTACAGTATCAACGTTTTTATACTTCATTTCTTCTACTTCATATCTTTTTGATGCATCTAAGGGCAAAATATCCAAAATATTTGCATTTCAAGTAGCTTTTCCCATCCTCGCCCTCCCCCCTAAATAGCGCCTGCTACGCAGGCTACATTTCAAGCTAGATTACGAGGTCACAGCTTTAATCCAAGTCTGAAGAACTTATCAGTCATATGATCAATATTTTAAGCCTTCCACTTGTTCGCAAATGTTGCATTTAAAATACAAAGGATTAATATTTGCTTACATACAGTGATGAATATATTATATTTTGTAGCCATAGTCATTGATAGACCAAAAAGTAAACTAAGCGTATACAAGAATTCTTACTGCATTATCTGTATTAATAAATGCTTTTGGTAATTGTAGCTCACTGATAATATAAACAAAAAAAGTTTGAACCATTGTAATTTAGTTATAAAATTAACTTGTATATAAAATCACTGCACAGGAGTTGCCTGAAGATCACTCTATACTATAACACCAAATATGTTTCATGCCAAGACTGATTTTCAAAAAGGTCATGGTCATTTGTTTCAACACAGTAGGATAGCCAATTGAACAATTATTGTGCTGCAAAAATATTCACACCAGATAAAATTTCAAATGTGTCACCTTGCAACGTATTAGTGAGCTATATGAACATGATTTCATAATGACTAAGACATTGTGTGTGCGAAATAAATCAACTATAAGTGGGTGCGAATCTTACAGGGCAGTAAAAACATTGCCCACGGATATTTGAAGTCATTAATCACGAGTAACGTTTTATGATTTAGATTTGTCACTATTTTGTAAATATCACAGCGGCAAAATGTGTCATCACATGATTTATGCACAATTAATGGTTTTGAAATATAAACAGGGCTTGAAATACCCGATCATGGTGATCGGCAGTCATGACTTTCCCTGCAATTTTTCTGATTGAAAATCCTGCTTTTCCGCCGATCATAAACTATTTCTTGCCGATCATTGATCGACTGTTATTTCAAATCCTGTATAAACAATATAAAACAATATATAGTCTATATACCGTACCAAAAGTGGCTAGCAAAAAGACAGCTATTTGCCTATTTTGTGCACTATTCAAACATTTAGCTAATAAAAAGCCCTGGGTACGAGTTCCCTAGATAACACATACTTAGCCTGTGGAAATCAGCTAGGCTCTCATGCTTTTTTCATGCAATATAACAATTGGCCATCGGCCATTTTCCGAGCAACACGCTGATATGGCCGTCTACTGATTGCTACAGATCTCCTATTTTATTAACTGTGTACAGATGCATGGACATTATGGCCGACCAATTTTTCACATTTATAGAGTAAAATCTCCCTCGACCTCGTTCTTGTGAAAATGATGCAAGTGAAATAACTACAATGTAATGTATTGTACAAATTTTCTCTTTTGCTTTCCATAAATAATGAGTGTTCGATCATTTCCGATACTGAAAACTTGACAAAATTTACAGAAGACATCTGGAATGTTAATGGCACTCATTAAATTGTTAAATTGGATAAAAACTTTGAAATTTGAGACTGGTGTGACGGTGTAGAAAGCGTACCTACAGAGAAACAATTGAACGAAAATCGGGAAATACGAATCAAATCAACAGGTTCATTTTGGGAAGATTTTCGAAAAACCTTGATATTTGTATTAAATGAGAGACTGGTCTGCCATTAGTGTCAAGCGCACCTAGCCCGCGTGCAGGCCCAGCTCGCGGGCTAAGCGCACCAGGAGTCTTTAATAAATGTACTAATGTAAGTCATTATAGATACGCTACAGTATTGGTGCAGGCTGGTAAACATATTAAATTCGTTTTGAGGTGGCTAAACAAACACACGTAATTGAGTAAGCGGCCATTAGTACTCATTTGAGAAAACAATTATACATAATACAGTTGCCAAACACCCAGCAATTAAACACTTTAATCTCGAGCACATTTATGTTGCATGTGAACAACAGCTTAGCTTAATTGATGCCCTTGAGGGCCACACCCTCCCCCTCTCAGTGGCGGACACTTCGAGAAATATTGGGGAGAGGGGGGATTTGGGTCGCCATCATATTTTGAGGCTGCATATTACATTTCTTTAATTTTTTTGCCTTAAATTTCATGCAAATTCGCTTACTTTATAGCCCACCAATGCTTTCAGTAAAATTATTGTATATAAGCTTTGTTACACAGTTAACCTTTTCAGCCACCATTCACAGGCTTTCAGAAATTATTGTGAGGGCCACACAGCCACATTTTCACACCCCTTAGAGAATTATCTCCCCCCCCCCCCGCCCCCAATCACTTCCAATTCAAAGCTTTCTAATTGCTATCAAAACGCATCAGGGTATTTGTTTCCAGGAAAATTTCCAATATATCGATTACGTTGTTCTAGTTAGTAATTTCTATAGGTAGTATGTCTTGTGTACATTAACACAGGTATTAGGTTAGACGGATGTTCGGTCTTCACTGATGAGCCGTTTATCTATGATCTTATCGGGCCATTGATCATTAAAAATAATAATTATACACCGTTATATAAAATACCAATGTACCAGAAGATAATAAAATAATATTCAACTAAGAAGTTTTTTTACAAATTACCAGCATGACCATGACAATTAACCTTCATAATTTCTATTAGTTTAACATCCTACAGTGTACATATATCTCGTCAAAAAAGTATATATTCATTATATTTCATTTTTCAACAGGTAAAACATGTCCCAGACGTCAGCAAGTGAGCCTCCTATATTGGCGACGCAAGTTGGTGTGCTGGAACATTTGGAGGAAACTGAGACAATTCAACCTCATGTAAGAAACCATTTGTCTGTATTTGTCTTTGTCGGCTCTATATATAGACTGAGGTAGTATAACCATCTGGGCCAAACACTTTCTAATTCTTCACATGTAAATACTTTATGTACAATTACCTTACGGAAGACTTATTATGCAGTAAATATACAGTACGACATCATGATAACATGAAATAAGTTTTAATTCTTGTAATATAACTTTTATTATATAACTTGTATTCAATAATATTTTAGCTTAGTTGTCAGGGACACTAGGCAGAACAGTGTTACCCCGTTGAAACAAAGCTTATTATTATTAGTGTTATTATAACCATAATTGACCTTAAAATTATCTACCCTGGCTATAACCTTACTGCACCCCGATTTTAGAAACCAAAAAGTCACGAAGCTTTAGTCAAACGTCTGCCAGGAAATGTCTTAAGTACATCAACAGTCTCGGAAACAAGTGATCATTCATCGTCCCTGCTCTGGACTCCTGCACAGCCAGTGATAAAACCAATCAAGGACAAGGACAAGGTATGTATGATACCGGCAAGTATGAAATCTTGTAGATCCAATGAAGATCCAATGAAATTAAAACCAAATAGGAGAAGATTATGACAATATTATCTTTAACATTATACACTGCATAGGGTTTTAAATTTACTCAATCCTATTGAAAGATATTCCCGCAAGCCACGGATACAGGTATCTGTTACCAACTGGGCAAGTTCAAACAATCGAAGTTAAATTTCGCTAAGTTAGTCCATTAACAGTTGTTTTCCCCGCTCTAACAAAGTACAGCAAATGGAAGAATCTCATATTTAATCTCAATATTCAATAGTCATTGCTATTTAAAGAATTCGAAAATGGAAATCTTACTCCATACATTAAGGTAGTTCCTTCAACATAAAAAAATAATCCACTTGGCTGTTAATGGAGTCACTAGATTCACTCACTTCAGCACTGATAGGGTAAATTCAACAAATTCATTGCATTGAAATCGCAACATATCACACGAACTCTGTTCAATTGGAACAAGATGGAAAAGGTAGAAAAAGTAATAGAATTTTAGAAGCAACATGGCAATATTTGCAAACTTATAAATTATTACCTGTCTTCGCCTTAGAAGAGAGTGACCACGAATACAACAGTAACCAATTATTGCAACCGCATTACTATACTTTCAAAAGTCTGAAAAGGCCGAGCCTAAACCATACCCTCATAGCCTAACAATTACATCTATCATTTCCTTTTTTAGCAACCGTCTTCTCACAGGACACATCGAAAAAGCCACAAGAGCAAACGTCGTCTTTATAAAGATGAGAAAACAACAGAAAGCGAAGAAACTTCCGCATTCTTAACAAAACAAGAGCAAGAGAATAGTCGTGTTCAGTCTGAGAATCTGTGCTCATTTGAACGAGACTACCAGCACCACAGACGCAGTAAAACACACGGGAGCAGTGCGGGAAGGCATAGTTCAAGACGATCTAACAAGAAACATCAAGAACTTTACAACGATTATACGAGATATCAATATCATCGCAGGTCACATAGGGTATGTTGTTTTAATGGGTGCATTCCAGCTATAGACTAAATTTTGATCAAGGTAAGAAGAACGAAATCCAACACCACAGCTAGAAAGAGCATCTTAGAATACCACTTTCGGCTGAAAAATGGTTATTCTTCCCGCGCGTAATGCAAATATATACAAAATTTGCGAACTTCACAGGGCTATATTTTCCTCATTTTACAACATTTCGCAACCAAACGTTGCAATTTTACTCATTTTAAGATGCTCTTTCCAGCTCTGGTAATGGAGTTCATTCTTCTTGTGTAGATCAAAATTTTGTCTATACTCAAAAGGTGGAATAATCCATTACTGTACCATAGACTGGAGAGCTCTATCAGTTCTAAACTGTTCTCCCATGAGATGTCCAGTAAGGGTTCCTTACCACAAGAAAAAGAAAACTACAGTTCCTAGTGAAGTCCTAGAGAAAACCTACGGAGACACGGAAACTGCATGTTGCAAGCGTCGATCCCTACTGGTCACAGAGGTTGAAGGAACATGCCATGAACATCCGCCCTGTGTTTACATATTTTCACCAGATATGATATTTTTAACACACTTTGTTTATTTTTATAGGATAAGCACAGAAAACATAAATCCCGATCACAACAAAAAAATGACACTGAAACAAGGTATAATAAGAAAACAATTGTAATAATCGTATGTGCAAAACAATCACAAGGAATTCTATTACTCATTAGATAGTACATTTTGCAAGAACTACCATGACTATATACCATTACAGTAAACTGTTTCAACGCAAATTTGTTCTGAAATACCAAACTCATTGCATGCCCCCAACCAATACCGCTGATTGAAACCTAATTCTTGTTTATGTTGGAAACATTTTCAGTACGACAAGCGGCTTACCAAAGATAATCCAAAGACTTAAAGATTTTTTCTTTGGCAAAAAGACAGATGAAGAGCACGGGCGGAAATCGCCTAAAGAACACAGTAGGAAGGATTTCCATGGGCACTCCATTTCTAGGAAACACAAACATGAAATTTCTGGGAAATTATTCCGCAGTGCAAGTGATTCTGACCTTGAGGTAGTCAAGCATCATCATAGAAGATCTTTACATAAGAAACGTATTAAGGATGATTATTTAAAAAACAGCAAACACTGGAAATCCAGACATCAAGATAATAGACTGCCAAGTATCTGTGAAAGTAGCGATCGCTCCGGGAAACTGGGTTCTGGCAGTGATGCAGGGAAACTGGTACTGGCCAGGAGCGGGAAAACAATGTATAATGACATCACTGGACGTAAAAATGGCGACCTGAGGAGAGCAAATGGTCATTGCAAAAGAGAAGAGAAAGATACGAGCGAAGGAAGTCATTCCCTGGACTCTTCACATAGTAAGAGAAGACACAGACGTCGGAGTAAGGAGTACCAGAGTTTGAAAAAGAAATGGGCAAAACAACATCAGAGCTTTGAAAATGATTTGGAAAAGATGGAGAAGTTAGTAGAATTGATTGGAATGAAGAAGACTCAGGGATGGTTGGAACAAAAGGTAAGATCTAACTTCCAGAGAAGAGCCTGTGCTTGAAACGTCTAAGATTTTGTTATGTCTTTCAACCACAACCTCCGAAAATCCTTTCCATGCACTTCCAGGGCAGAAAAAAGAATTTTCTTCTTGGGAGCACAATCTGAACACAAAAATTTCCTGCAGACCAACGGAGTATTTTTGTGCTAAATCTGCATGTGCATAAACATATAGTGTTCTAGCTGAGCATGGCTTTAAATTCAAGGAATAATGTCTGTCAACCATATGTTGTTGCGC